ATTAGAAATGTTAAGTCAGGGGTTGGAAGTATGGCCCAGGTGGTAGAGCCATCTTGAGTTAAAATATCAGATACTGAGTTCAAGTCCTGATTTTAGATGAAAAAAAATAAAAGAGGGAAATGTTACATCTTTGTGTGTGTGTGTGTGTGTGTGTGTGTGTGTGCGTGTGCGTGTGTGTGTGTGTGCCAGTATTAGTGCTTGAATTTACCACCTGACCCTCTTGCCCAGCTTTCTTTTTTACTGGTCCTAGGGCTTGAACTCAGGGCCTGAATGCTGGTCCCTGAGCTTTTTTGCTCAAAGCTAGCACTCTACCACTTGAGCCACAGCTCTGCTTCTGGCTTTTTTGGTGCTTGATTTGGGATAAGAATCTCACAGAGGGCTGGGAAGGTGGCTCAGTGGTAGAGCGCTTGCCTTGCATGCCAGAGGCCCTGGGTTCGATTCCTCAGCACCACATAAGCAAAAAGAAAAAAGCCGGAAGTGGCACTGTGGCTCAAGTGGTAGAGCGCTAGCCTTGAGCTGAAGAGCTGAGGGACAGAGCCCAGGCGTAGAGTTCAGGCCCCATGACTGGACCCAAAAAAAAAAAAAAAAGAATCTCACAGACTTTCCTGCCCAGCCTGGCTTTGAACCACAGTCCTCAGTTCTCAGCCTCCTGAGTAGCTAGGATATGCAAGCATGAGTCACTGGCACCTGACTAAGAAACCCCAGCTCTTTTAAGTGGGACTCATGCAATAAATTCGAAGCTAAAAATGCTGCTAATGTTTTTCTTGCTTGCTCATTTACATTATTTTTCAGATTACTGGTTCATTTCTGCTGGTCAGAGTTCTAGTTTTGCAGGTCTCTGATAAACATCTTATGAATACAAAGGACACAAAACAACAGGCATAGAAGAATTCCAGGCAGAATTTAAAATACTGTACCATTGACGCTAACAGTCAAATGCCATAGTGTAAATGTCTAACCTTGTTTTATATGACTTTTCTACAAAATGCCTCATCAAATATGAAATAAGAAAGCTTCATTCTTCTCTCTCAAGGTTTAAAATGTGTGGCTGTCACTTTATTCTAGATAACCTCTAATTACAGCAGATGGATTTGAAGTGTAAAATAGCTGTGTCTAATGGACGCTGTCATTCAGTGTGTTCTGTTTTCCTCCAAGACAGGATATGTGTTGTTCAGATAAAGGGTCGGAGTCCAAAAGATGTCAAGTAAAACACTAATTTCTAACTGCCTTCCTTAAGCTTCAACTATAATTTATGTAAATTTGCAACACTATCTAATTATAGGTTTTTAAATATATAAGAATAAAATTATTTATTTTTATATAAAATTGCCTTTGAAGAAACTAAAAACCCTGTTTCCTAGAAATACCAAAATTTTAAGTATAAATAAAAAAATTTTTTTTTGTGACACTGAGGTTTGAACTTGGAGCCTTATATTTGCCAGGCAGATGTTGTACCACTGAAGCCACACTGCTGTACTCTTTTTGCTTTTGTTAATTTTGGAGATAGGATCTGAAGTTCATTTCTGGGCTAACCTAAACTGGGATCCTCCATTTATGCTTCTTCACATAGCAGTGATGATAAGTACATGCACTATGCTACAATATTGGTTGAGCTTGGGGCTGGGTCTCTAGAACTTTGGCCCTGGGCTAGCCTTGAACCACAACACTTCCTAGTTTCTATACTTGTTAATTCAAAAATGAAATATAGATGTCCTTTTAAAAATCATCTAAAGTGTTTTAAAATCTCTATGATTAACTAGTTTGTTTGTTTGTTTGTTTGTTTGTTTGTTTGGTCCAGTCATGGGGCCTGAACTCTGGGCCAGGGCGCTGTCCCTCAGCTCTTCAGCTTAAGGCTGGCGCTCTACCACTTGAGCCACAGCGCCACTTCTGGCTTTTTTCTTTTTGCTTATGTGGTGCTAAGGAATCGAACTCAGGGCCTCGGGCATGCAGGGAAAGCGCTCTACCACTGAGCCACCTTCCCAGCCCTCTATGATTAACTAGTTTTAAAGTCAATAATAGAGCTTTTTTATTAAATGAAATTTTAGCTTAATAAAATAAATTTAATCTAAAATTTTGAACTGAGAAATACGTGGCTGAAAAAAAAAGACCTTCAAAATGAACAAGGTTTCTTGCACAAGTGAATTGCAAGAAGAAAAAGAAAAAGAAAATTTTATGTTAAAACTTAAAGGGCAATAATTGGAAAATTATAATATGTAAATCTTATTTCCTGATTTAGACTAATCAAGTTTTTATTTACATTAATAAATTAAAAGTTTGATTGATGGCTATTTCTTAGTATTAAAAAAACGAAAAAAGGCAGACACCAGTGGTTCATGCTTATAATGCTAGTTACTCAGGAGGCTAAGATCTGAGGATCATGGATCCAAGCCATTCCAGGCAGGAAAGTTCAAGAGACTCCTGTCTCCAGTTAATCACTTCCCAAAAAAGCAGTGGCTCAGCTGGGCGCCGCTGGTGGCTCACACCTGTAATCCTAGCTACTCAGGAGGCAGATCTGAGGATCATGGTTCAAAGCCAGCCCGGGCAAGCAAAGTCTGTGAGACTCTTTTTTTTTTTGGGGGGGGGGTCCCGGTTGTGGTGCTTGAACTCTGGGCCTGGGTGCTGTCCCTCAGCTCTTCAGCTCAAGGCTAGCACTCTATCCCTTGAGCCACAGCGCCACTTCCGGCTTTTTTTTGCCAGTCATGATGCCTGAACTCTGAGACTGGGCACTATCCCTCAGCTCTTCAGCTCAAGGCTAGTGCTCTACCACTTCAGCCACAGCACCACTTCCAGCTTTTTTCTTTTTGCTTATATGGTGCTGAGAAATCGAACCCAGGGCATCAGGCATGCAAGGCAAGCGCTCTACCACTGAGCCACCTTCCCAGCCCTCTGTGAGACTCTTATCTCCAATAAACTACCATAAAACCAGAAGTGGCACTGTAGCTCAAAAGTGGTAGAGCGCTTGCCTTGAGCTGAAGAGTGCAGGGACAGCGCCCAAGCCCAGAGTTCAAGCCCCACAACCAACAACCCCCCCCCCAAAAAAAAGCAATGGTTCAAGTGGTAGAGCATAGCTTTACTCGTAAAACTCAAAGACAACACTCAGGCCCTGAGTTCAAGCCCAAGGTCTATCACCAAAACAAAATCAAAAAAATCACTGTACGTAAGGCTATATAGGTTCCATCTCTAACATAGAAATATAAATAGAGTTTTAGATTTAATAATTACATCTTAAGCTTTTATCGGTTAGGGATACTTAGCTGACGTATAGCTGAACAAAATGTGTATTTCAAAATTATATGTCAGGTAAGGTTATAAGTGAGTGAACCTGAGGATAACCAGCTAGACTGATGATATGGGCATTCTTTTTTTTTTTTTTTTTTGGTTGGTTGTGGGGCTTGAACTCTGGACTTGGTCAGTATCCCTCAGCTCTTCAGCTCAAGGTGAGCGCTCTACTGCTTGAGCCACAACGCCACTTCCGATTTTCTAGTGGTTTATGGAAGAAAAGAGTCTCATGGACTTTCCTGCCCGGGCTGGCTTTGAACCCAGATTCTCAGATCTCAGCCTCCTGAGTAGCTAGGATTACAGGTGTGAGCCACCGGCGCCCAGCAATATATGGGCATTCTTCATCTTACACTGTCTACTTGTATATGGTTCAAACCTTAACAAGATGTTACGTTAAAAATCAAGATAAAGGTTAGAAAATTTGAACCTGATTTCCTGCTGGCCTCTTCTCTGTCCTTTGAGCCAGATATTTTTCATTAGCCAGATAGGTTCAGATTCTCAGGTGTGACACCACAAATAGGACTTATAGCCTAATAGCTGTTATGGATTTATGCTGCTTTTTTTTTTAAAAAAAGATTGAAATGAGATTTAAATTTGAAATACCTGGTGACTTCTCTGAACTTGAATAAAACCTACACTGCCTCATATGATTTAAAGATACTTTGTATATTTCCTATCTTCCTCTACTTTATACCAGTCTATCTTCTTCTTACCCACTATATTCCATAAGCACTTTTCTGCTTCTATAAGCAGCCTCAGCATCTTCACATTGCCTGCCTGCATATTGAGTGGCCAACTCTTACCTAGTAAAAATACTGTACAGGGGGGTTACAGTTACATGAGTAAGGTAACTAGTACATTTCCTATAGAATATTGTTACCCTCGCCTTTGTTTTTCCCATACCATCCTTTCCTCCCCACCTCTCCAAATTCCACACCCCCCCCCAGCTTTTAAGACTTTGAATGTTGTTACTTTAGGCATACATTTTTCTTCATCGTAATAGATGTTGTAATTATATATTTGTGTAATCACTTATTTACTTCATGCTTTCCTCTCTTTTAAGTCATGTAAGCAGGGATGATACCTGTTTTGCTCATCAGTATAATTCAAGAGTTTACCAGTGAGCCCATCAGAAGAATGTGTATACCCATGGCCCCTCATTCTCATAAAGGAACAGTAATTCTTAAAAATAGGGCACTTCGGCCAGGCGCCAGTGGCTTACACCTTTAATCCTAGCTACTCAGGAGTCTGAGATCTGAGGATCGTGGTTCAAAGCCAGCCCGGGCAGGAAAGTCCATGAGACTCTTATCTCCAATTAACCACGAGAACACCGGAAGAGGCGCTATGGCTCAAATGGTAGAGTGCTAGCCTTGAGCTGAAGAGCTGAGGGACAGGGCCCAGGTCCAGAGTTCAAGCCCCATGACTAAAAAAATAAAATAAAAAATTAAAAAATAGGGCATTTCTTTCAACACTCTCTGAGCAAGGATTTTGGTTGCATATAGTATAGCATAGTTGACTCTTGAATTTTGGATTAGCTTGAATTGTTTTTTAGGCAATTGTTTACAAACTCAATGAGACTATGGTTCTTGACTGATTCATTTAATTTCATTGGGCAATTGTAACTAAGCTTTTAATCATTAAAGAGTTAACAGCATTTACTTGAATTTATGTGGAATTTGTTTCCTTTTCCTCTAAATTTGATTTTTTTTCCCTTTCCTCAGGTACTCTCTGCCCTTGACATACTCCAACCTCCACACATTGACTATTTTGAAGAAATGTATCCTAACCAGGGAATGTGGAAGAAGACCATTTTTTAAGTTAATTTGTTCTTCTAGAACCTTTTTGGGGATTCATACCTTGAACTATATTAAATCTCATCTTTGCAGAAGTTGTTGAGTACTTGAAACCAGGTAATTTTGAAATTCCAAGTATCTGGCAGAGTTCAGTATTATCAACATGTCCTGTGGTAAGTCTACAGAACAGCTGTTGACATCTGAATAACCTTGTAGGATAAATATTTCTATCCCATTTTGTAAATCAAACCATACAGCCATGTTGTAGCGGAACCTAATGAAGTCATAATTGCCTGTCAACTAAGAAACATACTGCCTTTCCCTATAACACTTGGGGTAGGGTGAAGATTAAAGAGTTAAAATAAGTTAAATGACCTTTCGTAATAATTAGTAGGCTTAATGTCATTTGCCATGGAATAATGGCGGTAATAATGATGATGGTGGTGATAATAGATATTATTTATATAGCTTTTGTGCATGGCAGATGACTCTGAATTCTGTACACAAAGGAGTTTGTTTGGTCCTTATAACAACCCTCCTGGAAGGGTGCTGTTGTTCTCATTTTATAGAAAAGGAACAAAAGGTAAGAAACTTCACAAGATCACTGAGCTAGGATGTATTTGGGACTAAAATTCAATTCTAGGCAGTTGGACTATGTAGTTTCTTGTTTTGGACACCTACTTATATGATAGATCCTCAAACATTCTCCTGTTGTTACTATTCTTGTCTTAAAATAGTGTGATAGGTATCATGAATAATAATGAACTGCAAATAATGCATAGTAACTAGCTTCTGGAGCTGTATGGAAAAAAGGGGGGATTTCTTAATTGCTTAAAAAACAATTCAAGCTAATCCAAAATGCAATGGTATTCCTAAGCAAAGTGACACCAGCTTCCATTCTGCAGTTAAAGCCTTAAGTGGAAGATAGGGAATCCTAAATCATTTTGTTTGATAAGCAAGTTCATGATCATGCCATTTCTTCAGCCTGAGCTTTTTATTAATACTTTAGGTCTATTACTACAAATGGTAATTCGTGTAATAGATTCTTTTTTCTGATTCAGCAGTGAAATAAAGGAAATTTTCATTCTTACACAGGTGGTAGATAATTCCATTCTAGACAATTATATTTTATAATTTCCTTAGAAACTGGTAACAATTAAAACCTTCCCAGAGAGGAAGAGAACAAATAGCTTTAGCTGGTTAGGGAATTGGGAAACCTTATAAGGTACGTTACTGATCCACACAGCTGGGAAGCTTTGATTAGGTAAACCTGATCTCTTAAGTGCTATAATCCTTAGTGATATTTTAGTCCACTAGTCCTTTATGGATTTAATCTTTTTACACAGTACACCTGTAAGGGCCCAACCTTGCATGTTGCAAAGAAAGGACTGTCAACTTGACAAGTTCTTGTCTGATAAGACTATCTGATATTTTGGGTCATGCCAAATCTTTCTGATATGATCATTATTCAGAAAGTACAAAATCTGGCCAGGCACACTTGTAATCTCAGAATTGGGAGGTGGATACAAAAGGATCATGAGTTTGTGCCCAGTCAGTGCTACCTTGTGACAGTCTATCTAAATAAACAAATAAGTAAATAAATAAGTAAATCAAAAAGTACAAAATTTACCTAAGGAGCTAAGAGAAAAAGAAGAAAGTGAAAAAGTTCTGTTTTTCCTCAACTTCTAGTAGTAGCCACTGAGAAGGCTAATTATTAATAGTATATAATACTTGCCTGGATCCTTGCTGGAGGAAGGAAAGTGCTGGTGGGAGTGGGTAGCATTTACTTAACTTAGCAGAAATGCCTTCCTACACCCAGCCAAAAGCTACCTTCTGTAATCTTAATTGTGAAATAAAAATCCATGTACTTGAAAGTAATCTATCAGCATGTGTTACTGTTTCAATCTCTTTCGAAAAGAAATTGCTAAAACAAAACTTTTAAGTTAGAAGAAATATTCTTTATTAAATATGAACTTTATTATATTGTAGGTTGTATCAGGAGTTCCAAGACCACACACAGGTTTGATCACTAAAAGGACTCAAAAGCCATTATTCTCATTTATATTTTATTGAAGCAAAAAGATTGCAGATTAAAATCATCAAAGTATGGGTTGGGAATGTGGCTTAGTGGTAGAGTACTTGCTGAGCATGCATGAAGCTCTAGGTTCAGTACCACATAAACAGAAAAAGTCAGAAGTATTACTGTGGCTCAAGTGGTAGAGTGCTTGCCTTGAGCAAAAAAGAAGCTCAGGGACAGTGCCCAGTCCCTGAGTTCAAGCCCCAGGACTGTCAAAGGAAAAAAAAAAATGTCAGCAAAGGAAAAAAGATTCACAGGGCCTCATATGAGTTTGCAGATATCCTTTTCAAGTAGAATTATATAGAAAGGACTTAGTCTCTCTGTAATTATGGGCAAATGTTACCACCCAAGCAAGCTCACCTAAGCCTTGGTGTTCAGTAATTACATTGTGGGTCACTTCCTTAGGCACAGTGCTCTCAAGTGACTGACCTTAGCTACTTAGTCTCCAGCCCTACTCCCCTTCACCCCCTCCCCAGCTGGAATAAATACAGTTTAGTCCAAAGCCTTAGATAAACAAACACAGGTGTCTACCATGAATCATATTGCTAGCATCAATTTATATGTCCCAAACAAACCATAAGTATACTAAGATACTTTTTCCATTTAAGAAATTTGGTAAATATGAGTATATTAAATAAGTGCCAAATATATTTAAGTTCTCTCCATTCAACACTTTTTTTTTTTTTTGGTCAGTCGTGGGGCTTGAACTCTGGGCTTGGGCACTGTCCCTGCGCTCTTCAGCTCAAGGCGAGCACTCTACTCCATTCGATACTTTATTAAATATATTTTGTCTTATAATTCAAGCACAAATTATGTCAAGCATTAATTTTATGTAGTTAGATTTGTCATTCTTTAAAAAAAATCCTGAGTGTGCCAGTGGCTCATACCTGTAATCCTACCCACTCAGGAGGCTGAGATCTGAGGTTCACAGTTTGAAGCCATCCTGGGCAGAGTTAATAACACACTCATGTCTAATTAAGCACAAGAAAAGCTGGAAGTGGAGCTGTGGCTCAAGTGGTAGAGCACTAGCCTTGAGCATAAAGAGCCCAAGGACAGCACCCAGGCCCCAAGTTCAAGCCCCAGGACTGGTACAAGAAATCTTATGTGTGCTTCCATAAAATAGGAATTCTCAATCACCATGACTTCATTGTACCTGAGAAAGGCTTAATTCATCATTGTATCAATTATTTACAGAAGAAAGTTAGCATGAGCAATGTATGTGGTTTAGTAACTGGTTGTAGCTAATGTTAATCTATTTTATTAGTTAGCAAAATGTTTCTGTGCAATTCATCTCCCTGGAATTTTTCATGAATGTTCAAGTAAAGAACTTTTGTCATAAAATATTTATGGAAACTTCTAATATACCATTTATTTAAATACTTTTAAATTTTGTCTCAGAGCACTTTTTATCTTCCAGACTAAAAAAATTAAGCACTATGACTTTGCCATAAGTTAGCTGACTATGGTTAGAAAAATCCTTCAAACCTAAACTTCAATATTCTTGTTTTCTGACTTACAATATTTAGCTGTATGTAGAACCATACACAGAAAAAGAAAGGTAAGTATTTTCAAGTGGGTATCATTTGGAAAACTTGGGTCCTTTTTATGTAAAAATGAACTACACCTGCAGCTGCCTGGACTATCAAATACTTTTCAGAAGGAATGTTTTAGCTTGGAAGGTAGGATACTGAGAATTTTGTGTCGTAGAACAGCTATTAGATGAAAGAACATAACTGCCTTAGTTACATGTATGCTCTGCTTTTTCTTTTTCTTTCAATGTCCTAAATGAGAAGGTTTTTTTGTTTTGTTTTGTTTTTGTTTTTTGGTCATGGGGCTTGAACTCTGGGCCTGGGCACTGTCCCTCAGCTTTTCAGCTCAAGGCAAGCACTCCATCACTTGAGCCACAGTGACACTTTCGGTTTTCTGAGTGAATTATTGGAGATAAGCGTTTCATGGCCTTTCTTGCCCAGGATGGCTTTGAACCATGATACTCAGATCTCAGCCTCCTGAGTAGCTAGGATTATAGGCATGAGGCACGGGGCACCCAGCTGAAGTTTTGTGTTTTTACCACAGAAGATTCCTCCAGTTTGTCTTTGTCAGAAAAATAAGAAAACACATTACCTAAAACACAAACATATTAAAGATTAATATGAACTCAAGTTAAAAGTAAGAATTCTAAGCTAGGCACCAGTGGCTTCCACCTTAATCCTAGTTACTCAGAAGGCTGAGATCAGAGGATCACATGTTGAAGCCAGCCAGAAGTGGAACTGTGTCCCAAGCGGTAAAGCCCTAGCCTTAAGCAAAAACGCGTGCACGCGCACGCACGCACACACACACACACACACACACACACGGATCCAATGTAATATTTGTCCATATGAGTAGGTTTCATGTAGTATCTCAAAAACATGCTACACACTTTACACACGGTTTTGGATAATTGGTTCTTTTATCCTTTTCTTTTTTCTTTTAGATGACTGTTGTGTCTTTGTATATTCATGGGTTTCATGACCAAAATTCAACAGTCCATAGATGGAAATTGTTCAGGAAAAAAAAAATTGTATCTTGTATCTGTATTGAGTATGCACAAATGGTGTGTGTGTGTGTGTGTGTGTGTGTGTGTGTGTGTGTGTGTGTGTGTGTGTGTGTGTGCGTGTGTGTGTGTGGTCAGTACTGAGACTTGAATTCAGAGCCTGTGCTCTCACTCAACTTTTTCCCTTGTCACTAGCACTTTACCATGGGCAAAAAGTTTGAGAATCTCCACCTTAAGCAATAAAAGCTGGGATAGTCTTATGTGCTTATCATTCTAGCTGTTTGGGAAGGATCATGGTCCAGGACAGCTCAAGAATAAGTACAAGATCCAGTCTCAAAAATAACCAAAACAAAAAGGGTTGTGGCATGGCTCAA